TTTAATTATTTATTAAATTATGAATAAAATATGAGTTTTGATTTTTTCCAATTATTTTTGATCCATACTGTATTTTGAAAAATTTTCTATAGTTTTGAGAAAAGTATATTTAAAATTTTTTAAAAATAAATAAATAAATAAATTTTTTTAAAACTTAAAATTATTATTATTATTTTTTTTCTAATTAATAATTTTAATTATTTTTTAATTATTTTTTTAAAAAATTTTTCATTATTAATTATAGTACACCTTTTCAATTAATAACATAGTTTGTTTATTTTAAAAAATTCATTAAATATTATTTTAACATACAGTATATACAAGACTCTATCAATTTTTTAATAAATAAAAGATTTTTAATATTCCTAAACAGGAATAAACCGAACAATTTCAAACGATTTCACGATGGGTTACCGAAAACCATGCATTCTTTTCGTGACAAATGAAGTTGTAAAAATAGCAAAGACGCACTTTGACCTATTGATAATCTTTTTCTATGCCAAGGGTGTATCGATATTCGGTGCGTGTGTAGATATTTGATAAAAGAATCTTGTATTACAATTTGCATTTACATAATACAGTATTTGAAATATAACAAGAATAAATTAAGCACATAAATAACTAATTTATCTATAAATAAGAGTAACCGATGGATTATGTAATGATTTGGTTTAACCTCATTCGATTTCAATTAAAATATTTTCGTAAGGTTGAAGTTGCCTGGTCTTAATCAGATTCTTTGTTGCTAGTCCTACAGGAGAAGAGTTCACGACATTTCCAAAAGTACATAAAGATTCATATGATTAACGATAAGAAATCTTATTATATTACCTAGAACGTTATAAAATGCTTTTGCAACTTCAGACCGAGAAAGATGTTGCATTTCTATGATATCTTGAAATACAACTCTTGAAATTTGAGCTTCGAGCATCAAATTTTTCATGGATTCCAAGAAATTCATCTGTTCTTGTTCACTGTTTTGAGCCGAACCCGCCTCGCGACGATTTTCCTTATCTATCGATAGACTTTCCAATTCACCTAACTCTGAAGTTTTTTCGATATGTTAGATTTATTAAAATTCATGAACGCAAATTAATTAAATGGGCACCTTCGAATATTGGAAAATCGGGAATTCCGACACTATTTTCATCAAATAGATCCGATAAACCAATAGATTGACGATTTATTCCAATAGAACTTTGTCTTCGTTGTCGGTCAGCGCTAATTCATAATTTTAATGTTTATTATGCTGAAACTATAATAGAATCTTAAAAACCAAATTTTTAGCTTAATACCTTCCAAGTGCGCTCAACAAATTAATATCTAAAATGTCACGACTTGCAGTTCCCACAGAAGAATCGATATCAAAGTCTACGAAAGGAACGCGATTTAAAGTTTATTTGAATATATATGAATATATAACAAATAAATTCTGGAAATAAATTTTACCCATGGTCACATCGGCAGCTTCGGTTTCAACGTTTTGCAAGCCTTGCGGAATAATGACCGAACTGCTTTGGCTACCACCTCTTCTTAAGCGTTCAAGCTCAACGTCTTGCAAGCTATTATCTTTTTTGCGCTAAACAATAATCATTTAAAATTGTGATAAAAAACTTTTACATTTGATAAGCACTCGAAAGAATTTAGAATTCTTTGAAAACTGTGCATACTGTTTGATTAGGTTGCCTTGAACTTTCGATACCAATATCATCAATATATAAATCGTCTAGCTCTGCTATGTCATCATTTTCTAAATTGTTGGATCAATAAGAAATTAAGCGATTGATAACGTTTATTCAAAAATTCAGTCGGATATAAAATACGTCTTAATTCAAGCGTTGGAGAAAGTCTTCTTTTTCTGAAGGCGTCGTCTAAGAAACAAGTAGAGTCCATAATTAATCAATGTCAAAACCCACAAATTTAAGAATATAGTTCAAACATACCTTGAAGCATTGGAGCGCAATGATTATTCCAGAGTGAGGCGATTTGTGGAGCACAAACTGTACCAATTTTACGCGTTACCATGGATACTAAAAGTATACACAAAATATCTTTGAGTATTTACTTGGTAAAACGGGCGTATAGAGGATTTGTTGCCATCTGTTTTTATATTCATGCATAAGCGACTATAAAATAGAATGGTTATGGAATTATGATGATTATAAGAAAAAAGAAAAAGATTTTGAAATGTGTTCAAACAACAAACCTTTTCCCTATTGATTCTCTCCCCTTCGATAAGGTCATCTTTTACACGTTCTCGCATTTCTAAGATCTGTTCATTTGTCATTTCAGTGTCTTCATCAAACATATAATAAAGTCTACGTCTTTTTTGTCGCATTCCTCTGGCTTTTATTTCTTGCTCTTGATCCTGCTCCTGACCCAATTCTTGATCCAGAACCTGATCTTCTTCTTCTCTTACGAGCTCCTCAGAAGTTGGTTGCATTGGTACAACATGATCATTTTGTTCTTCTTCAAAATTCATTTCAACGTCTTGTTGAAATTCCAATTCCTATAAGGTCTCACGACATAAATAATCTATCTAAAACTTGAAATATCGAAAACGACTATAACACACCATCTCGCGTTCTATCTCTTTTAAAGCTTCTCTCCTCTGTCTCTTCCTCTTTTCTCGTTCCTCTGCAGCGCGACCAGCATTTTCGTGTTCCTCCCGAACCCTTCTTACAATCTCGTCTGTATCACGGTTTGCGGCATCTCGGTTACGTGGTTGAGGAGTTTCACCTGCATCTGTGCCTTGTCCTTCCATAAATTCGAATAGGCCGCCTTCTTCATCGAAGTCTATTCTGATCCTGCTCGATCACATGACATTTAAATGTTAAGATGTATGCATACTATAAAAAAAACGATAAACGAAAATCGATGATTTTCACCCCGAGTCATCAACCATCAATAAATCATCTTCCATTAATCCTCCACTAAATCCAGTAGTTGACGCTGAAAAACTTTGATCGGCGATATCTGGAATTGTAATTAAGGATCTTCGAGATGTGGCATTTGATGCTCTTGTACTTTCATCCATTGGAACTTTTATTAAAGGAACAATAATGAATAAAAATATCATTCATCAACTTGTCTAATGAACGAGATCATCTACCTTGGCCTGTGGGTGATAAAGGCTGTGCCCAGTCTAGAGCCCATTCAATATCTGGAACCTTCAATAAACGAACTATAAATATACTTGAATATTATTTCCGAAATAATGCGTTATATTACCATCACATTTTCCTGACTACCCGTAAGAATGGACATTTCAATCTCAAAGTATGGATCATCTTCCAATGTAATTGACTCGAGTCTTGCGAAAGTCGAGGTTTCACATTTAACTCTTGATTATTGAATTTTATGATTATGTAACCAAATGAATACCTTGCTTGTGGTACAGGCATATCTACCGATTCATTCTGTAGTTCTTTAAAGGCTCTGTGCAAACGACTGTAAACAACGCCAACATCGGCTATTATGTGACATTTGACAAATCATTCGTGGATATGATAAAAATATCGAATGAAACAACAAAAAAAAAACCAGCACCGAACATAACTGTAATAAAAATGATATTGCTGATTATACACTCTTGTTATTCCAACCATTAAGTTTGAAGTTAGACGAAGTGCTAGTGGTTCCGGCGGAGAAGAAACAAATTTACTAGACATGATGAAAGATAAGTTAATATGATGATGCGTCATATGCAATGACTTTTGAAGGAAGATAACACATCTTACCAAGCCTTTACTAAATCCACCGAATTCACTTCTTTCTTCGAGAGCTTTCTGAATTTTGAACTTGATCCTAACGTGGCAGCTAACCTATGAAGATTAACATCATCGTTACTGACTAATTAACGATTATGAATGTTAAAAGTTAATTAAAAAACAATGTACCAAATAATACCGAATCCTCCTTTTTTACGTGTCAAGATTTCTTTGGAATAAAACATGGTTACTTAACCTGAAGATAATTTTAATAATGAATATCATACAATGTTGAATGACATAGCTATTACGATAAATTTACTTTCGCGTAAAGACCATCGTTTTTACCTATTCGTTTCAATCCCTAACTGTTAAAGCCTAGCAAATGATCGAAAAGATCCTCCCATAGACAGCAATTTGTTGAGCGGGTGGTTTTAGGAAAAATTCTCCCGACGATAATTCATATTTATATAATAGGTTGAAAGTGATTAAACTTTCGGATCACCTTGCCTATCAATGTATCGATGAATAAACGAAAAGTCTATTACTTATGCAAATTTAATTAATTGTAAATTTTGATTAAATTTCGATAACATAAGATTGCAATTCTACATACTGTATATCAAAGCATTATTTGATAACGTGTAATTGCTGAATACTTGTGTACAAAGCAAGATCAATGGGACACCCGCAATTAATTATTATTATTATTATTATTATTTACACGAAGAGAAAAAAGGTATGAATATTTTTTGACTACACTTTTTGAGATATAATTCTGATAAATTTTAATGAAGTTTATTATGCATACAGAACTTAGTATTTTTAAATTACCATTATTGTAAAAAAAAAAAAAAAAAAATTATTATTATTTCTCAAATATACAGTATTAAATATATATACATTAATCTCGTAAATTCAGTAGTTAAACATATGATGAGATTGTAGGTGTGTTCCCCAAAAAGCATCGTAAGGGTTCGACACTATCTGCCGATTTTCTTGCCAAAACCGGAAAATCCGCCAAGAGGTGGTTGTTCTGCATATTGTGCCCGGTGGACACAAAATGATTTCATTTGTAAATAAATTATTCACACGCACAAAGATTGTTTCTCCTCCAATTTTTTTGTCCTTGTCATTACCTAGTTGCAGAAGGCAATTCTTCAAGATGTCTGAACATGAAGTAACTCCCAAAGATAAAGGACCAGAGGACATCGTTATGACTTCAGATGGGAACGTCGAAGTTAAGAAAGGATCCGATGATAGATATGAACAACATTGTATTCTATTTCCCACCTATGCCACAAAATATAGTTTGGACGGTAAGCTTCCTGCTCGATTAGAATGCATTTTTCAGAACTTCATTGACTGTAATCTTTCATGAAACAGAAAAGGCCGAATTGACCGATCATTGGAACATTCGAATTCGTGGTTGGGCATTCTCTACGCCTAAGACGAGCAGAACTCGTTCTATCTTTCTTGGTAATCACGGTTTCCCATTTCCGAGAGATTTTAACGTTACCATGATTTTAACATCACTATAATCCATTTCAGGACTTGCATCACACTTAGCCGAAATCCAAAAGGAGGATTTCCAATCCCGCGCTGCCTTGTTTTGGGCGAGCAACATTGACCATAAGGAGGTCACCGTCAAAGTTGTCGGTCTTACCGCTTCGAACAAGATGGCCATCGATGGTGATCCAAATGATCCATCAGTTGAAAAGCTTGTCCATGAACATTCGGCCGAGGATGCTAAAGAAGACATAAAAAAGATTGTCGATAGTGCCCAAAAGAAACTCACTACGTCTCACCCCGAGCATGAGACTCCTAGCATTAAGATTACACCGAATACAGGAAATTGTCTGGGACAACTTTCGATTTCACAATCGGTTGTCAAAAAATGGATGAGTGAGGAGAGTAATGTTCCGTTTCTCAGTGGCCTCATCAATGCTATTACTAGGAAAAAGAATGATCCAAATAGGATTAGGTTGCTCAAGATCGAAGTTCTTCAAGAGACGCAATGTGAATGATATTTTTTATCATTTCGTATGTTAATTGATATTTGAGACTAAACTGAACTGTTTTTTGTGTCATGAATTCTAATTACATACACAGCATTCCCAACTTATGGTGTTGTTGATTTGGTCGAGCCCGAAGGTTATTCTGTGATTTCTGTGAGTGATGCATTATATTCCCTGTAATGTTTCTTTATGCACTTTCTATTAATGCCTCTTTAAAATTTAGGATATCGACGACACAATTAAGGACACCGAAGTACTTAGCAGTGCAAGAACTTTAATATCCAACACCTTTTTGCAACATCCCAAGGAAGTAAGATCGTCTCATCAAGAGAAATTTATTTATTATCTAAAGCAAAAAGAGAACAAGTATTTTCTTTTTTTTCCTTGATATTATAGCATTTTCTTATTTCCATCATAGGTTCCAGGGATGGCACAACTTTATCATGAATGGGTAAGTCAGATACTAAATAATTTGTCTTTATACTATACATCGTCGTAATACCTTATATTGAAATTATAATTACACGAATATTTATAAGTATGATAAAGATGTTTCATTCCATTACGTTTCCAATTCACCGTGGCAACTATATCCAATGCTTCGATTCTTCTTCGAAAAAAATGATTTTCCATCTGGCTCCGCTCACCTTAAATTCTATGACGGGATAGTTAAAAGTGTTAAGGAGCAAAGGGAGCATCCAATGGCTAGCAAATTAATGTATATTGGCGAGTTACTTAAGGTACCTACATTCTAGGAGAATGTGAAAAATGCGAGTTTATGTTGGATTTGGAATAACCTCTTAATTACATTTGATAATGCAGGACTTTCCCAAGCGCAAGTTCATCCTTGTTGGTGACACTGGAGAACATGATCCTGAGATGTAAGCAAAAAAATCATAATGTATTAACAAAATTCGAATTTGGGATTAACAGTAGTTTTAACGCCTAACATAGTTATGTGAAAATTGCTCGAGAAAACGAAGGTCGGATTCTTAGAATCTTCGTCAGAGATGTCTCCACTGAACATTTGAAGGGTCTTCCACCTCAGCCCGCACATCATTCATACGCACAAACATTTACATCGACATACAAGCGTCTTCATAGTTACTATTCAGCTTCTGAAGCTGTCGTTGAAGAAAAAGATGGTAAGAAAGTTACTGAAACCATCGCAGAAGAAAAAGATTGTAAGAAAGTTACTGAAACCATCGCAGAAGAAAAAGATGGTAAGAAAGTTACTGAAACCATCACAGAAACAGTGGCGTCAGAAGGAGGTTCTGCCGAAGGACATAATAAAGCTACTTTTACCTCACGCCTCATGAATCATCTTCACTCCGAAGTATCACACATTCATGATTCCTTAGGTATGCATTCAGAACATTCAAAGATGATTGAAAATAATACAAATGAGGAAGTTTTAAAGACACCATTAGAGCAGTTTCATAATAGATTAGCATCACTGAAGGAGGGATTACCGGAAGGAATGTTTTGTACCTTCACAAATCCTGAAGAATTGCGGAATGATCCTGTGATTAGGAAGGCTTTAAATTATTGATTATTCGCGAAAATATATGATATCGGTTATTTGATTTATTAATGTCTAAAAAGAAATGGGTGGTTTTTTTTTTTTTGAACATCAGATTAATTATTTGTTGTTTCCTGTTTTTATTGTTTAATTACTTATTCTCGAGTTTTAAACGGAAGTATTTGATGCATAAGTGCTAAACCGCCGATAAAATTTCGATTTTCGATAAAATCCGCTATTATTTCATAAGTTCCAAGATGGAGGGTCAGTGATTTCTGATGTTAAATGCCAATAGAACCTAATGTTCTACAGTATGGATGGCGACAACACACGTGTTTGCCGGGTTTTTGATGTTGCCCTGATGGTTCCAACCAATTTATTATTATTATTATTACCCTGGAAATTTGCTAATTATCAAATAAATTGTTGCTATTAAAATATATATAACATTAAAATATATATATATACAGTATATTATAACAATTATATAATCAACTATATAATTTATGATAATTTCAAAATTTATAAAATTTATAATTCATTGTATTTAAAAATATATGCTGTGTATATGCAAATATTATAAAAAGCTATTGTCATAATATAATTGATTTAAAAATAAAATTTATATACATTTATTGTTATAAACAAGATAGTATATGTAAAGCACCTTAATAACTTGATTGATTTATTATAACATCAATTGATTTATGTTATCTTATATGAAAATTAATAGGAAATAATAAGAATATAAAAATTTTTTTTTATTTAATAAATTATTATTTATATGTATATTGTTAAAAATTTTAAAATTAATTGTTATATCAAAATAAAATTTTTTAAAAAATTTTAATTTAATTCTAGTAAATAAATTAATTAGCTAAAATTATTTTAATATAGAAAATAAAAACAAAAATATTTAAAAATAATTTTAACAAATTTTAAACTAGTTAATTTTATAGAAATTTTAAACAAAATATTTTTTTAAAAATTTTTAACCTATCTATTATATTGATATAATTAAAATATTTAATTATATAAATTAATATTATATAAATAAATTAATATTTTAAATAAGTTCTATATAAAAATAAACTTTTATATTTAATTTTAAATTATTTAATTCTAAAATTCAATTTTAATTATATTATAAAAATATTATATAAAATAATATTTTTAAAGAATTAATTTAAATATATAAATTATTTTTTTTTTTAAAAAAAAATATTTTTATTATTATATATTTGTTATTATTAATAATAATATTATTATATTTTGGTTTTTATTTGAATAAATTTTTTAATTGAATAAATTATTATTAAAAAAATTTTTTTAATAATTGTAATTATAATATTTTTTATAAAATTAAATTAAAAAAATTTTTATATAATTTTTTTTAATTTTTAAAAAAAATTAAAATACAATATACAGTTTGATTCTAAAAAAATCAGACTTAAATTTTTTTTATAATTTAATAAATAATTATTTAAATTAAATAAAATTTATAATAAAAAAAATAATATATTAAAGTTTTATAAATATTTAATTAGTAATTTATTTTAAAATATCAATTTAAAATTTAAATAAAAAAAATTTTTTTTTTTACAAATTTTAACTATAAATTTATATATAAATTCTGTTTAAAAAATAAATTTTTACTATAATAAAATCAATAAAAAATTATTAAATATTTCTTATTATATTTAAAATAATAATATTAAAATTGCTTTATTTTTATTTTATAAAATTTGATTTTGATATAAAATACTAATTAAATTATTAAATAAACCAAAAATTTTTTAATAGTAAAACTATAAAAAAATTAATTTATTATAAAATATATTATTATTTAACAAATTTATCTATTGAAATAATTTTAATGATTTTTTATTAATAATTTTTTTTAATGAAATTAAATTAATTAATTTTTTAAAAAAAAATTTTTAAGTTAAAATTTAAAATATTTTAATAATATATTTAAAAAATTTTATTAAATAAACTTATTATTTATATTTTAAAATATATATTGTTATATGCCAATCCAACCTCAAAGATCAGCATAGGACGAAGAACTGATAGCAGGGAGACACTTTATTTAGGACATAATC